CCATGAATGTTTTGAGTTTTGATGTTTAATGTCTTATTCTGAAAGTGTATCGTTAGTTCTCTTTTTCTACTAAAAAGAATCTTAGTTCATTTTTTCACTTTGTAGAAATTGAGTATAAGGAACTCCTGTGCCGTGTGCCGACAAGGTGGCTTCCCCTTCTGTCTGCAATAGATACAGTGCTTGCCTGCATTAAAAGGCATATTTCCCTTCGGAGAGGGGAAAAGAATGTGCCAAGAATCTCTTCCTCTTTGTATCATTTACTTCCTACATAACCAACTAGGAGCACTTTATTAAGCACTTAAAAAAAAAGCTAGAATGCAACCATGCCAACTGTACAAAACTAGGCTGTTTCATGAAAGGTTTACATTCTAAACTAACGAGAAGGAAAGAGGACAAGTTCTATGGACAATCAGCCTAGTTTATTTTGTGCAATGTCTCTCTATGGAACAGAAGACAATTTGAGGAGGAAGCAGATAAGGCACTGTCAAGGTGCATCACAGATCTTGAACTCATACCATTTTGCAAGGTATCAGTTTTCAAACGTCAGTTCTCTCACTGAACAATGAAATGCAATGGTTTGATACTTATAGGTTGGCTAGTTTCTTCACTTTGAGATTGATTTGAATAATCTATAGGATTACTATTTCGTTTTACACCAGATAAGAGCAGTAAATTTCAAAGGAGCAAAGAATTGATCTCTTAGTTCATTTTTTCACTTTGTAAAAATTGGCCATGTGCCAACAAGGTGGCTTCCCCTTCTGGCCCTCAGAGACCGTGTATGGGCTTTGGAGATCAGAGTGGCTGAACTGGAGGAGCTGAGGGAGACAGAGAGGTACATAGATGAGACTTTCCAGGACACAGTAGAATGGTCCCACTCCTGGTATGATAGCCTCTGTGCTGTTGAGGAGGATGAAAGTCCCAGGGAAGGAGAGCATCTAAACTGAAACAGAGGGAAACAATCCCATAGTTGGGACCCTCCTTCCGGAGGATGTTGTGATATCCTCTCGCACTGAGGATACCTCTCCGGGGGAAGGAACTCCAGCTATTAGAAAGAGACAGGTATTAGTAATGGGTGATGTGATCATTAGAAACATAGATAGCTGGGTTTGCGATGACCGGGAGAACTGTATGGTGACTTGCCTGCCTAGTGCAAAGGTTGCAGATCTCTCGAGACATCTAGATAGACTTATGTGTAGTGCTGGGGAGGAGCCGATGGTCATGGTACATGTAGGTACCAATGACGTAGGGAGGGATAGGAGAGAGGTACTGGAGGCCAAATATAGGCTGCTAGGTAAGAGATTGAAGTCTAGGACCTCCATGGTACCCTTCTTGGAGATGTTCCCAGTTCCATGTGCAGGGCCAGTTAGACAGGCACAACTGCAGGGTCTCAATACGTGGATGAGACAATGGTGTAGGGAGGAGGGGTTTAGATTTATTAGGAACTGGGGAAACTTTTGGGAAAGGGGGAGCCTATACAGGAAGGAAGGATGAGCTCTTTTATGTATCAATTATCCCTCTTCGGGTTACAAAATTAATTCTAAATAGCAGTCCTGTGTGGGCTGTAACTTTCCTTATTCCCACTACCTTTAGATTTCTACAGCTTTATGGACACCAACTTTTTTTTTTTGGCAGATGATGGCAAAGCTAGTGGGACAGTAATTGCATAACAGGGTGGCTGAGGCACCTGGACCATGGGAGTGAGAGATCAGTTGGTGTAACCCACAAACCTCCTGGGTGTGGTGTTCTCTCCCATGCAGTGACACCGAGACCACTTAGAGAGAGTTAAATGAGTCTGCTCTACAGCCCTAGCTAACAGCCACTTGGCTTTTAGCTCATGCAGTAGAGACTCATGCACTAAGCTCCAGAGATCCCTGGTTTGATCCCACTTGCCGACAGATCCTGGTCCTTGGTGTTACATTAGCACAGTTTGGTAGCTTTAAAAACCAAACAAACCTGTGTGTTTTTTGTCTGCCTTGTCTAATTAGGTAGTAAGCTGTTAGTGATACTAGAGAAATTATCTAGTCTCCATTTTGTGTGCCTAATTGCTATATTGAATAAGCAGGAGTCACTCCACACTAAAATGGAAACTGCAGTTCATAAGCATGCTCAATACAAGTTTGGAACATGCCCAGTAGTAAAATTGCATAAAATGAGGTATGACCACAAAGTAAATGGCCTGCAGCATGAGTAGTGGGGTCGGATAAGGTAATCATGGCTCTGAAGTAGAAACAATGTGAGTGAAAATATCCAAGAATGAGGTAATCTGAGCAGCAAACATGACCAGGCAGAGATCTGATAGCTAGAACAGTATATAAGGCAGACAGGCAGGCGAGAGAGAGAGCGCGCGCAGACAAAGAAGTCTGTTGGGAGCCAGCAAGAACAGCTGCTGGAAAGGAACAAGAAGAGAGATCCAAGGGGCTACCAAGAAGACAGAAAGGTTGCTGAGAGGACTGAAGAGTTCCAAAGAGGGAAAAAGTAACCTGAGAACACTGCTGAGAAAAACCACTTCAGCGGCAAGCAGCAGCAAGATTTGTTACAACCCAGTGAAATCCATAACAAAAAAAAGTTTGTTATTTTTAACTATAGTTTAGCATAAGTATAGTATAGTATAAGTGTGTGTGTGTGTGTGTGTGTGTGTGTGTGTGTGTGTGTGTGTGTGTGAGAGAGAGAGAAAATTAATGGTTGTAAAATGTAATTTTCTTATGTAAAGTTAAGTTACGGCTGTTAGCGATCTATTGCAGACTGATGACCTGTGATAGAGCACATCACTTGGAATAATTTAAGCTATACACTATTGTAGTTTAGTTCCTCTAACTTGTAATAAGGGATTTGTGTCTGATTTTTATTTCTAGGTTATACTGTAGTAAGGATTATTAGTTACATCAATAAAAGATACTTTGTTTTAGAAAAAGAACTGTCAGTGTCAATCATTTTATCGGAAGGTTATATCTGTGTCCTTCAAGTGTTACCTTAGTTGCCCGGGAGACCCATACCCCAGGAAGAGCACATTAACGGGGTGATAGGCAGGTTAATCTAGGAGTGCCCCAAAGCCTAAATTTCAGGGTAACATTAGGGATAGATTCCGAAGAAGTGGACTGTAGTCCACGAAAGCTTATGCTCTAATAAATTTGTTAGTCTCTAAGGTGCCACAAGTACTCCTGTTCTTATTAGGGATAGAGAACTACATACCATAATGTGACCTAAATTCTGACTGAGGCCACTAGACACTACCATAATAAAGTATACTTTCTGGACCATTGTCTTTTTCTAATATAATTGAAGAAAAATATATTGTTGGGATCAACAACTGTGTTGCTAAATAAATAGCTATTGCAAATGCACTTCTAGTAACAATGTCAACTGGCAGCAAATCCACTATTTTTGGAAAGTATAAATTCATCCCAGCTATTACTGCAGCCGGTTAAATGTGTTTTAATCTCTTGTATCTATACACTCACAAATACTTTTCAGCTGGCTTTCTAATGAGGGAGCCAAGCAGATATTTTTTCACTAGACAGTCATTCCCAAGTCTTACGCACAATGCGGGTTAATAGGAGTTGCACTGCAGGTTCTCTTCATTGAACAAACCTTATCCTTCATATTCCCACTCACTCAGTGAATTAATTTCAATTTAGTCATTTAATCACTCATCTATTTCTTATCTTCATAACTGCAGGTACCAAGACAATAGAATAATTTGATATAGTTAGTGGAACTTCCAGGTTGGTAGATTTCTTATTCCAAAGCCAGTTTACAGATAAAAAATAAGATGCTTTTGTCATGTGCATCTTTGTGCTGCCTCTCATACTACCACTAGTAATCGTAACAGTCGTTCTCCCTCTTGTATCCCAGCCAGCCACCCTGTTTTTAGTCAACACCTTCCTTTAAAAAGATAAATTATCGGTAATTCCTTTGTGAGGTGGGCTGCTATTGATCAGTCCTGACACTTCCAAGAAATGACAATGTTGGCTGACAAATATCACACATAGGATGCCACACTGAGAAGGGCTCTTCCAAACCTGCTCTCACTGCCACAAACAAGAGTAGTATTCTCCTCCCTTCAGGATGGTTTTCTCCCCATCCTCAGCAGTTTTTTTTTTAAAGACACTATTTTAAAGCTATTCTCCGTCTAATTTAGAATAAGAGTGTGCCCATCCATGGATAGATCAGCCAGGAGTGAGGGAAGATGAAACACTAACCATTCCCCATTCCAGTCTGCAGAATTGCTAGGTACAATATCACTCTTAGGCCTCTGTGCACAAGAACTAAATGGAGGTTTCACAAAAGAACTGGGTTTTAAGAAGCAATTTAAAGATGGGGAAGGAGGGTGTTTAGCAGAAAGGATGCAGGAAGAAAGGAGAGATAAGGAAGAGGAGCTGAGAAGAGAGATTAGGTCCCTCAGTCAAACTCTGTGTCATTCAGCTGCTTTTTAGTTTGCTTCATCCATTTATCAATATAAGGAAGAGTGGGAATTAAACCCCAGAGAAACAGAAATATGACCCATCTTTCCATTTTCCTTGCTCTACATTAGGGATCGGCAACCTTTGGCATGCAGCTCGCCAGGGTAAGCACCCTGGCAGGCCAGGCCAGTTTGTTTACCTGCCGTGTCCACAGGTTCAGCCGATCACAGCTCCCACTGGCCGCGGTTCGCTGCTGCAGGCCAATGGGGATAGCGGGAAGTGGCGGCCAGCACATCCCTCATCCTGTGCCACTTCCTGCAGCACCCATTGGCCTGGGACAGCGAACTATGGCCAGTGGGAGCCGTGATACTTAGAAAAATTATATTTCAAAAGTCTATTAGAAGATTTAAAATACATACAAAGTAACATCAGGTGGCCAACAGCACCTTGGGGTTTTACAGTAACCACTTTATTATTTTCTTTTCCATTAGTATTGAATGTTTTGAAAGATTTAGCATGATCACAAAACCACCACATACCTATGGTTCAATAGCAGCACGCCATTACCTTATCCCGTTATTTATGAGAAGCCACTGACGATAGTCAATTTAATATAATAGTAATGGACGAACGGCCAAATCCACTTACCACAATATGTTTGTACATTGTTTTCTCCCATGTTTCCAGGGAAGATCTGAAAGTTTTCTCTGTTCAGCTGAAAATTTTATTTATTATGTTAAACCAGTAATTCATCATGGCCGAGACATTCTACCACTATTTAGTTGGATTAAAACATCATTGGACAGGTATCATGATTTGCAGAACACCAAATGTGCCAACAGACACCAGTCACATTAAGAAGATGCAGATTAGGATAAAGTTCATTGCAATACCTGTAACGTAGATATAAATTCCCATCTTTAGAAAATTCAGTCTTATTTTGTACATGTTCTAATTCATGATGTTCAACTACTTTGCTTAGATAAGTTTACCACAATCATCTCCAAAGTAGACCAGTAGTATTCCTTAGAGGCTAATACACTAATTCACTCTTAAAGAACTTAAATAAGTGGCGGTAGAATCATGGGACTTACAGTCAGCAATTTGCAGGATTCTCTTCACTTCCCCGCTTCCTGATCCTCCACAACCATCCTCATCATCACAGTCTCCACTGACTTGTTCATCCATACTTACACCACTGCCCGTTTGTAGTAGACCCCACTTCTCATGTTTAGGAAATGATTTGCCCTGCAACCGCTGCAAGCACAAAATAAAATATGCCAATTATCAACAGAGATGAGATAGATTCAAAAGGTTCAGAAATTTAGTTTGGATGAGCACCCAAAAGTTCACATGCTTCTCTAATATCCAAACCTCCAGTCTGGAAATCAGGTTGCTGGACTGACAAGATCAGGCAATTTTGTTATATTTACTGAACATTTCTGGATTCCAGCCAGCCTACTTCAGGTTATTTGGGGCTTGCATTTCTAATACCACCATAAGCAAATGCAGAGGTGCCCAAAGGTGTATATTTTAAAAATTGATCATGGGGACTGAGCTCAGAACCCAGATTTCCTCAGTTGGAAGTCAGTTCGACTCTCTGCCTCTTGCCCATATATAAAATGTAAACATTAATATTTATAGTAGTTTAGCGATTAATTAGTAGTATTTATTCACATATATACACTCAACTTTGGAGATTAATGGCATTTACATAGCACTTTTCACTTTTTTGAGCTTCAGAAAAGATTTAGATCAGTACATATTCCAGATTAAGTTGTAATTTCTTATTTTATCTGAAATTACATATAGTAATTCATATAACAGTACCAGGGCCAGGGCATCTGCTCATGTAAATTGGTACTGTTCCATTGACTTCTATGAAGTGGCACCAATTTACACTAGCTGAGGCTCTGTCCCTTGGATTCTTTATTACAATAGTCAACAATTTTTCCCCCCTCTTAAAGCAGTTAAGGTATATATTAGTTACTTCATCATTTCAGCAGTTCACACTTGGGGTAAAATTTTTGAAAGCAGTCTTTAAATTTTTCACATTCAAAATTGTTTGGTGAAGATGGCAGGTTCATAGTTCCAGGCATCAGATTTTTGGATTCAAATTACTACTGCAAAAAGTAATGTGACCCTTAAATGAGCACAAGAACTTAGTACTTCAACCACACTTCTACGAGACCAATGTCCCATCACATCATGCCTGGGGCATTAAGTTCAATGTTGACTCAGCGGCATGAGTACCCCCACGTTGACTCATCACCAACAAATCCTGCCACAGAGTGGTTTTCTTTGTATAACTCCTCTATGTATGTTACTGTTGAGGTTCAACACCACTAAATTTGAGAGATTTACAAGATCACAGCTTGAGATGTGTTTCTCCTTTATATCCTATATCTGTGTCCATCTTAAAAGAGGATTGGATTAAGACTTTATATTTTCCCAAGTTGTCTAAATACTAGCCCACAGTAATAATGTTTGTGTTCTCTAATCTTTCCACCTACAGCACAGCACTATCCTAGTATTTGAGTCAGGAGAACCCAAGGGTCCCTCTGAAATTGCTTTAACTATAAATCTGACATTGGAAAAAAGATGCCCTGCAACCCTATCAAAACTTTTCTTTGAATTTATGGCAGTTAGTAGTGATTAAGAAGTGAAAGAACAATTGAGCCTTTTTTATTTTGGTTTCTTCTTCAAGTTATTTGCTTAATTATACAAAATGAAGAAATCCACCCCTCCATATAAATTCACATCTCTCTCTCTCATTGGTTGTTCTCTACAAAGCATGGCTCAGACCTAATAAACAAAGTTCTTTATTCAGTGTTAAGATCTTTGTGCTTCTTAAAAGCTAGTCTTATTTCACTAATGAGATTATAAGTAAATAATTTTAGGGACATTTTATGTTTATTTTGTTCTGTTGCATATTTTATAAAAAGCTGTAATTTAAAGGGGACAGGAAAAACAGTTTATTATTGGAGATTTTCTGATTATATACACTTAATGAATACCACAATTGGACAGTAATGACAATACCTTGCCACTATGTGAAAGTCAGAAAGGATCTTGACTTAATTTGGAAAACAAGCAACAGAACATTGTGTCTTATCCTCTTTGGTGTATCCTTTTTGTAAGTAATGTACCCAGATAATTTTTATCCAAGCATTTAAAAAGAGCTGGCAGTGAAGGTCTCTAGACCATTAATGTTGATTTTTAATAAGTCTTGGAACACTGGGGAAATTTCAGAGGCCTGGAAGAAACTAATGTTGTGCCAATATTTAAAAAGGGAAAAGGGGAATTAATAGGCCTGTCATTGACATCAATGATAGGCAGGATAATGGATCAGTTGATATAGCTCTTGATTAATAAAGAATTAATAGAGGGTAATATAATGAATATCAATAACTAACTTGTCAAACAAACTTGACACCTTTTTTATTGTGATTACAAGTTTGTTTGATAATGTAATACAATTAATTGTAATACACTCAGATTTATTAAAGGCATTTGACTTGGTACCACACAGCATTTTGATTAAGAAACTAGACTGATACAACATCAATGTTGCACATTGAAGTAGATTAAAAATTATCCAACGGGTCTCAAACTGTAATTATAAATGGAGAATCATCATCATCAACTGGATATGTTTCTAATGAGGTCCCACAGGGATTGGTTCTTGTTCCCATTCTATTTAATTTTTTAATCAGTGTCCTGGAAGAAAACGATTTCTGATAAAATTTGCACATGATACAAAGATTGAAGGAGTGGTAAATGATGAAGCGGGCAGACCACTGCTACAGAGTGATCTAGATCATTTAGTAAACTGGACATAAGCAAAAAAATATGAATTTCACTACGGTAATAAGGTCATAATGTAAGGTCATACAACTAGGAACAAAGAATGTAGGCCATGCTTACAGAATGGGAGACTAACCCAGGATGCACTGACTTTGAAAAAGACTTAGGGTCATGGTGAATAATCAGCTGAACATGATCTGCCAGTGAGAGGGCTAATGCAATCCTTGGACAGATAGCCAGGGGAATCTCAAGAATGATTAGGGAGGTAATATAACCTCTGTATTTGGCACTGGTATAATCACCAGTGCAACTGCTCTGGTGTCCACACTTCAAGAATGATGTTGATAAATTGGAGATGGTTCAGAGAAAAGTCACAAGAAGGATTAGAAAACATGCTTTATAGTGACAAACCCAAGGACCTCAATCTATTTAGCTTAACAAAAAGGTGGCTAGGGGGTGAAATTATCACAATCTAAGAGCCAGAAGGAGTAAGAATGTACTAGCTACTGGGTTAGAGAGTTACCTGGGAGAACCACTTTCAAATTGCAAGTCCAACAAATATGGAACAACTTCAGCTGAAGAGAGACTCATCCCAGAATACAAAAGCTAACCCAAGGGTTAGGACACTGCACTGGACCGGAGGAAACATGAGTGCTAGTCCCTTCTCCAAATCAGGCAGAGTGAGGATTTGAAACTGGGTCTCCCACATCCCAGATGAGTGTTCTATCCCCATTATCTTCCATGGCTTAGGTGTGCGCTGTTAATGTCTATCAGATCATGCCCCGTAGGCACGACTGGCAGAAGAATGCCTTTTTGAGAATCCTGACAGGGCTTAGTGTAGGCCTGGGACATAACTCACTCCCATATTAAATTAGCCTTGACCAGCCGTGGGTGAAACTCAGGGAGTTCACCACTAAAATTGAAAAAAAGAATGTCCTGTTGCTAACAAAGCATAGATTTACTTGGCATATGTATTCTGCATGTGTTGCTAATAAATGGAGTTTAAAGCACAGCTGTGTAAGGCTCTTTCACTGGAAAAAGGTCCCGCAGACCCATAGAGCCCCGAGGGAAAGGGCAGGTACCTAAATTAACCAGGTTTCTTCCTGAGCCCTGTGGGTAAATGTAGGTGCCTTACTCCCAAAGCCCTCGGGGGGGGGGGGAAGAGTGGGGGTGCCTAAATTGACAGGGTCACACCTTAAGCACTTGGTAGGGTATTGACAGGAGCAGCTCAGCAACATCAGGTTTGGGGCAACTTTGCTAAGTTAAAGTTCTGCAAATTTTATTTGTCAAATAAATGTGGAGACTCCAGCCTGGGGAGCACAGGCCACTGGTTACACAGAGGTGGGAGATCACTGTGCAGCTTCCTTACCCAGGGCATGGATTCAGCAGTGAGGCTGTACCCAACCCTGACAGCACAAGGACGGGGCCTGTCCCAGAAACACCCCAGGGCCCTGACCCTCCATGCCAGGTGTACCAGGTGTGGGCAGGCAGGCTCAGCAAGGCAGGATCCAAGTGGGGAAGCAAAGAAATCTATGGGAGACAGTAATTCTGCACATGCACAGTTGTGCAGCTTCTAACAATCATGTGTCTCTGCTCAATGTCAAACCCCTCAGATTTCAAGCATCTCCTCAGTTGTAGACTGGAATCCTTTAGATCTCCTAGGTGTTACAGAGCTCATTATTATACCAAGGTGAAGTTACAGCTGCATTTCACCAATATATTTCATCAGAGGTACTATTGAAGGGGAAGTAGGATAGAAAAGTCTGTCCTCTGTACAACAGCCAGCATCCCCTTTTCAGTCTTATTATACCTTTTGATATCTTAGAGATATTTGGCTAAATAATATTAGTTCCTGTTGGCCCAAACCACTTTCATATCTTACCACTTTCAATAAGCAGTTCCTCTTCCAAGACCACTTTTCTCTATAGCTTTAATGGTCATGCATTGGCAAGATAGTTGACTTTAGCCTCAAAAACCAGTTTCCCAGCTTAATAAAAATACAGAAGTGATATTTTCCCTAATTTCCTCCTAGCACCACTTCTACTCTATGTGAAATATGTTTTGATAAGTCAAAACCAAATTGATACATGTGTGGTAGGATACTTGGTGCATGTGTGATAAAACTGCGTATCCAAGGTAATTTATTCCAAGAAAAAAATCATATAAATAGGAGACAGATCCTCAGCTGGTATATCAGTATGTTTCTAATGACTCAATGGAGCTACATCAATTTATACCAGCTGAGGATTTGGACCCATATCTTTAAATATTTTTGTGAGGGTGCAAGACTTAATTGAGGAGGAGAGAAAAGGAAGAACTAGATTAAATATGGCTATATCTACACTGCACACTTTTCAGCCGGGTGTATTTTCCATATGAGCTTTTTAGACAAGGGACTGTCTTGTTACAGGTTTGTATAGCACCCAGGACAGTGGGAGGTTAATTGTTAG